CATCAGGAGGAATCTCCTGTATCTGTAATCGTCCTGACTGAAGTACAACTGGGCCTTGCAGGTGCCTGCGTAAGTGATGACGCAACACATCGAGGTCTGAAACTTCAAATTCACACTGCGGACCTGATAGCGACAACGGGGGCCCCAATGGTCCCAAAGTCCGCGCCCCACCGAAGCCACAGTGCCCCCGACGGACAGCTAAAACAAGAGATCTGGCAACGCAGACCTTGTCCCAGAAGACTTCCCGACATCAGATCCAAGTATTAGTCGGGGTCAGCGCGTGACACAAGGAACTATAATCATGACGAACACGTAGATTGGCCGTCAACCCGTTCTTAATCGAGACGGCCTCGATACATCTCTCCATCTGGCAGCGAAATACAGCATGAACATCCTCAGCTGCCTCACGAGGTGCATCATCAGCACTCTCAGAGTCCAATTGAGCAAAGCGAGGCGGTGCAATCGCAGCGCCGGAAGAGGGCATCGCGTATGGATGTGAAGTCGATGCAGCTGAGAGACGGCACGACCTGAGAATCCCAAAGTCGACCAGGACGGGCAGCGATTATTCCCAGGGGGTCTCCTTCGTTTGGTAAAAATTAGCCTGGCGAAGGACCCAACCATATGCAGTTGTGAATGCCGCAATTGTGCTGGGTGGTGGCGGACGCATGCGGGCGGTGCCACTGGGACCTTCGGTGGAGCTCCCTATGGGGCCACGAAACGCTGTACTGGGTGGGTGAGACGCGGTCAGCAAGGGCTGTGCTGCGTGGTGGCGGACGCATGCGAGCGGTGCCACTGGGACCTTCGGTGGAGCTCCCTATGGGGCCACGAAACGCTGTACTGGGTGGGTGAAACGCAGGCAGGGAGCAAGGGCTGTGCAGGGTGGTGGCGGACGCATGCGGGCGGTGCCGCTGGGACCTTTGGTGGAGCTCCCTATAGGGCTACGAAGCGCTGTTCTGGGTGGGTGAAACGCAGGGAACAAGGGCTGTGCTGGGTGGTGGCGGACGCAAGCGGGCAGTGCCACTGGGACCTTTGGTGGAGCCCCCTATGGGGCCACGAAACGTGCGAGGGGTGTGCCAGAATGGGGTGTGGAACCGCATGCCAGCGCAGCCACTGGGGCCTTCGGTGGAGCTCCCTATGGAGCCACGAAACGTGTGAGGGGTGTGCCGAAATGGGGGGTGGAACCGCATGCGAGCGCAGCCACTGCGGCGTTCGGTGGAGCTCCCTATGGGGCCACGAGACGTGTGAAGGGCGTGCCGAAAAAGGGGGTGGAACCGCATGCGAGCGCAGCCACTGGGGCCTTCGGTGGAGCTCTCTATGGGGCCACGAACCGTGTGAGGGGTGTGCCGAAATGGGGGGGGGAACCACATGCGAGCGCAGCCACTGGGGCGTTCGGTGGAGCTCCCCATGGAGCCACCCACGAAGCGTGTGAGGGGTGTGCCGAAATGGGGGGTGGAACCGCATGCGAGCGCAGCCACTGGGAGCCTTCGGTGGAGCTCCCTATGGGGCCACGAAACGTGTGAGGGGTGTGCCAGAATGGGGGGTGGAACCGCATGCGGGCGCAGCCACTGGGGCCTTCGGTGGAGCTCCCTATGGGGCCACGAAACGTGTGAGGGGTGTGCCAGAATGGGGGGTGGAACCGCATGCGGGCGCAGCCACTGGGGCCTTCGGTGGAGCTCCCTATGGGGCCACGAAACGTGTGAGGGGTGTGCCAGAATGGGGGGTGGAACCGCATGCGGGCGCAGCCACTGGGGCCTTCGGTGGAGCTCCCTATGGGGCCACGAAACGTGTGAGGGGTGTGCCAGAATGGGGGGTGGAACCGCATGCGGGCGCAGCCACTGGGGCCTTCGGTGGAGCTCCCTATGGGGCCACGAAACGTGTGAGGGGTGTGCCAGAATGGGGGGTGGAACCGCATGCGGGCGCAGCCACTGGGGCCTTCGGTGGAGCTCCCTATGGGGCCACGAAACGTGTGAGGGGTGTGCCAGAATGGGGGGTGGGGCCGCGGTGCGGGCCTATGGGGCCACCACGAATGTGGGGCCTTCGGTGGAGCTCCCTATGGGGCCACGAAACGTGTGAGGGGTGTGCCAGAATGGGGGGTGGAACCGCATGCGGGCGCGCCACTGGGGCCTTCGGTGGACTGGGGCCTTCGGTGGAGCTCCCTATGGGGCCACGAAACGTGTGAGGGGTGTGCCAGAATGGGTGTGGGAGGGGGAGGAGGGGGGAGGAAGGGGAGGAGGAGGAATGAGGAGGAAGGAGGAACGCGGGGCGACGTCTCTTCAAAACGAAGACCCAACACCACACGATGGTTGGGGGAAAAAACCCTTGGGCCCAATAAAGGTCCTCCATAACCCTCTTCGACCACGGAAGTATCCATCAACCAGGGGAACGGTACCGAATAGACATGCTTGTAGTTGAGTATGGCGATCAGGATGAGCAGCCCACTCTGTATACCAAGTGAGACGACGCATAGCGAACTACACATGGGTCTCGGGGGTCCTTCAATGTTTTCTGCGCCGCCTGAATCGTGAGAGTTTGGGTGTGTCCGTCAGCTTTAACCGTCTTGCACGCCCACGCATGACCACACGAGCAACATGAGCAACACGAGCATCCAAGTGAACATACTGCTGCTCGGTCACGATGAAAGTCTCCAGGCCACAAGGAGCTGAATTCTGCACCAGCGGAAAAGAGGAGCGAGTAGGAGGAGGAGACACAGCGTCAGAACGCGGGTGACTTCATCGCTTTACTGCCGCTCCCGCCTCCCTCGCCCGAGAGGCAGCTCAGCTGCATGGAGCGCCCCAGCGGCGATCGTGAGGTCTTCGGAGGGGTCGAAATCGAAACTCCGGGCCACGGCGACTACGCTCGCAATTGGGCAGGTGGTGGAAATGGAACTGTGTGACGATATACTTCAAGTGCGAGGACCAAGAGGATCGCCGCCCAAGCCTGCTTATGGGATTGCGTTCGAACGGGATGTGAATGTGCGCGAGTGCGAAGAGGAGAAAGAGGATGAGGAGGAGGAACAGCAGGCGGAGGAGGAGGAGGAGGAGGAGGAGGAGGAGGAGGAGGAGGAAAAGGAAAAGGAGTCCTGCGCTCCTCTTTTGCCCCTGACGACTTTACAGGCCTGCGCCCGCGGCGCGGCCTGCGGAGGCAATTGGCCTGGCGAAAAACCCAACCATACGCAGTTGTGAATACCGCAATTGTGAATACCATCTTCGCCCACGCTCCCTATGTGGCCACGGCGTCCCGACGGAACCCGACATGCTTAGGGACACGTTCGCGGCCGTCTTCGTGGGCGCCGACGACGACGAGGACGGCGCCCTCCTGACCGAGGAGAGAAGCAGGAGAGGGCTCTGGGAGCCATGAGGGAAGCTGCCACTGGCGCCTTTGGTGGAGCTCCTATGGGGCCACGATCCTCGTGAGGGGTGTGCCGACATGGCCCGAGGCCGCTATGCGTACCCTGCCGTTGGGGCCTTCGGTGGAGCTCCCTATGGGGCCACGATCCTCGTGATGGGTGCCGAAATGGCCCGAGGCCGCCATGCGAACCCTGCCACTGGCGCCTTCGGTGAAACTCATATGGGGCCACGATCTTCGTCACGGGTGTGCCGTAATGGCCCGAGGCTTCCATGCGAACCTTGCCACTGGCGCCTTCGGTGGAACTCTCTATGGGGCCACGATCCTCGTAAGGTGTGTGCCGTAATGGCCCGAGGCCGCCATGCGAACCCTGCAACTGGCGCCTTCGGTGGAGTTTCCTATGGGGCCACGATCCTCGCAAGGTGTGTGCCGACATGGCCCGAGGCCGCCATGCGAGTTCCGCCACTGGGACCGTAGGTGGAGCTCCCTATGGGGCCACGATCCTCGTGAAGGGTGTGCCGGCCCGAGGCCGACATGCGAGTTCCGCCACCGGGACCTTCGGTGGACCTCATTATGGGGCCACGAAACGCGCGAGGGGTGTGCCGTAATGGCCCGAGGCCGCCATGCGAGTTCCGCCACTGGGACCGTAGGTGGAGCTCCCGATGGGGCCACGAAACGAGTGAGGGGTGTGCCGAAATGGCCCGAAGCCGCCATGCGAGTTCCACCACTGGGACCTCAGGTGGAGCTCCCTATGGAGCCACGAAGCGTGTGAGGTGTGTGCCGAAATCGCCCGAGGCCACCATGCGAGTTCCGCCACTGGGACCGTAGTTGGAGCTCCCTATAGGCCACGAAGCGAGTGAGGAGTGTGCCGAAATGGCCCGAGGCCGCCATGCGAGTTCCGCCACTGGGACCGTAGGTGGAGCTCCCTATGGGGTCATGATCCTCGTGAAGGGTGTGCCGAACTAGCCCGAGGCCGCCATGCGAGTTCCGCCACTGGGACCTTCGGTGGAGCTCCCTATGAGGCCACGATTCTCGTGAAGGGTGTGCCGACATGGCCCGAGGCCGCCATGCGAGTTCCGCCACTGGGACCTTAGGTGGAGCTCCTTATGGGGCCACGAAGCGTGTGATGGGTGTGCCGAAATGGCCCGAGGCCGCCACGCGAGTTCCGCCAGTGGGACCGTAGGTGGAGCTCCCTATGGGGCCACGAAGCGTGTGAGGGGTGTGCCGAAATCGCCCGAGGCCGCCATGCGAGGTGTGCGCCGAAATTGCCCGAGGCCGCCATGCGAATTCCGCCACTAGGGCCGTAGTTGGAGCTCCCTATGAGGCCACGAAACGTGCGGGGGGTGCGCCGACAGACATGCGGAGGGCAGCGGCGAAGAGGGGGAGAAGGGAGGAGGACGAGGAGGAGAGGAGGATGAGGAGGAGGAGGAACGCGGGGCGCCGTGTCTTCGAAACGAAGACCCAACACCACAGGATGGTTGGGAGAAAAAGGAGGAGAAGGAAAAGGAGGAGGTGGTGGAGGTGGAGGTGGAAGGGGGGAGGGGGAGGATGAGGATGAGGATGAGGAGGAGGAGGAGGAGGAGGAGGAGGAGGAGGAGGAGGAGGAGTTCCCCCCCCCCCTCCCCCGCTTCCACCCTTTGGTGCGTTTTCCCGCCGCTCCGCCCCGCCTCGCCGCCGTGCCTGCACGGGCCTCGCGGCTCGGCTGCTCCGCCGAGAACGTCTCGAGAATGATATCGCCAACCAAAGTGCGAATGCGATCCTTGCACACGCGGCCCAACGGGCCAAACCGGTATAAGACGGCGTGTATCGCGTCTCGGCTCTTGAGGCAAGTCAAGTCCTGCACAGCAACCCAAGAGCGCACAAAGCCGTCAACGTCGTCGTCATCAGCAATCACAATCTCGGAATCGCTGTCCAGATTGGGGGAGCCAGGTTCGTCGCCGTCGCCACGAGAGGGGACACCAGAGACACCAGGACTGCTTTCCCCGCTCAAGCTGACAGACGCAACAGCCTCTTCAGAGAAAGTCTCAACCACTTCTGCGATGAAGGCGAAAAGAGAGGACATATGGGAGACGTGTTCGCATACCAAAGACGTGTCAGGCCTCTGTCCCTCCAGATCGCCATCGTCCAGACCCAACTGTATAAACCCATCGTGACCATGAAGATCAGCAGCACCAGTAGGTTTTTGAAGTCCCTCATTGGCCCCCTGGCTGGGCCTCAGGACCTCGGGGCCTCCATCTTCCCTAGCAGTGATCCCAGGCAATTCCAACACGCCATTCAGAGACGCCTCCACGCCAGGCTCAAAATCATAGAACAGCGACATGTCCACTGACAGGTCGTCACCATCTTGACCACAAGTGGGTTTTCGAAGTCCCTCATCGGCACACTCGTTCCGCCTCAGGACCTCGGGGCCTCCACCTTCCCTGGGCCATCTCTGAGAGGTCAGTCAGAACCTCATCGAGGAGAGGATCAACATCATCATATTCGCCTTCCGAAAGCAAAACCACGTGTCCACCGTGACAGAAAACGGCATCGTTGTCTATCCCACTCCCGTGTGCGGGCGCAATAGCATGAACTGCATCACCTCGAATGGGTTTTCGAAGTCCCCCATCGGCCTCAACAGTCGGCCTCGGGACCTCGGGGCCTCCATCTTCCCCATTCTGTCGTTCAGAAACCGCTCCTGCAGAGAAGTCCGAAACAGCGTGCCCAGGCGGAAGGTATCCTCCTCGCCGTAGCCCTGGTCGGAGGTATCCTCCAGCCTGTCCGTGTCAACGCTGTCGAGGTAGTGAATCTCGTCAATGAAGTCGTCCTGCTCATTCCCCCAGCCCCCCAGCCGGTTACCCCGATGGGCGCGTCGCCGTCCTCGTAATGGACCAGGTCGATGATGTCCTCCTGCTCCGCCAGGCCGTCGTCATCCCCGCAGGGCTCCACGCAATCGTCAAAGAAAATGCTCCTGCTCCTCCCACCCCTCGCCGGCCTCGTCATGCCCCAAATCGTGCCCCAATTCCCGAAGAACCAAACCTGCAGGAGAGTGATGAAGAGCATCCCCTCCAGGCCAGAAGCAAGGGGCGTCAGCCCGTAACGGTGGACCTTCCTTGGGTCCCTGGCAGACGAGCTCGTCAAGGCAGAGAGGTACTCGAGATGGGTTCTGCTCCTTGGGGCGCCTTTTGAACTTGCTACCTGCCCCAGGCCAGCGTTGATGCCGAGCAGAATTCCCTTTCAACAATATATGCTGCATGGTCCGAATAACCTCACACCCAAACTGCCCACTATGGATCGCATCCTCCAACGTTTGACGCAGAGAACGAGAGTGTGGAAGCCCATGGCCCACCTCCAACGTTTGATGGAGCCGTGCAGCTTGCGCCAAGTCGAACACTCTGCGAACAAAGGTAGGGTCACACGTCTGGGCAGCCCCACCCAGCAACACTTCTGTCCGAAGTGGCACGAGAGAGCATGCAGCAGAAGCAAAAGATACACAACGCCTCGAATTCAAATTGGTCCTTTTCCCCAGCTGCCTAAGGGCGCCAAGCGTGAAGTTGACAGCCTTAGCACCACCAGATGTTGGACCACACGTGCGGGGACGGTAAGAATCCATCACAATGAAAACGCGTAGACCGAAGGTCACAGACGCGCGGCACCGAGGAGCGTGGACATGGCAAACCGAGGGGCGCGGCCGCGGGCAACCTGATGGCTCTTGAACCAAAATGGCTACGGAGGAGGAGGAGGAGGGGATAGGGAGCAGCAGGATGATGAGGAGGAAGAGGAAGAGGAGGAGAAGGGAGGAGGAGGAGACTCAGCAACCGGCAACTGTCAATCGCGCCCGGCAATGGGAATCCGAGCGGCTGCAACGAGCCCTCAACAGTCAGTGGGCTACTTTGCGAGCGAGAATTTGGACGAGGTGTGTTCGTCAACTTTAGTTGAGACCGTGGTTGAAGCGCGGCTCGCTCTAGCTACCCTCTCATGCGACGGCCGTCAAATCCGCGCGAGGGTCACGAACACTTACGAAAGAAGGCGGCTGAAACGTTGCTTCCCGTGGAAATCCAGGGCTGGAACACACTCGCCGTGTCTGCATGAGCGGCTGAAACACTCCCTCGTAAAAATTGAAGGCTGGAGCCCACACCGTGAATTCGTAAAAATCAAAGCTGGAGCCATACCCTGCTTAGGGTTTTAGAAATATCAACAGGGTGGGTGAGGGGGGAGGGCACGGGCCCGGGGGCAGGGTTCCTAGCATTGTGTTCACGCGTCGCTCCCAAATGGGGGCTGTCCGCGCGCTCGTGCGCGTTTTTTGGGTTGTTTTTCCATGCAGCAAACACCAACCCCCACGAGTCGTAGGAAACTGGAAGGCCCAATCGGCAAGGACTGCACCTCCACCGCGCGCTCGTGCGCGTGCGGTGGTCTGGTCGTCGGCGTCGGTCAATCGGTCGGTTCGTGAGTCGTCGTCATCGTCGGTCGTCGTCTTGGCCGACCAGTCGGTCGTTCTGTCGGTCGTCGGCCGCCAGGTCGTCGTCGGTCGTCGTTGTTTCGGTCGGTCGGTCGGATCGTTGGGTCCAGTCGTCGTCGGTCGTCGTCGGTCGTCGTTGCTTCGGTCGGTCGGTCTGATCGTCGGTCGTCGGTCGGTCGGTCGGTCTGTCGGTCATTGTCGTCGGTCGTCGTCGTCGTCGTCGTCGTCGTCGTCGTCGTCGTCGTCGTCGTCGTCGTCGTCGTCGTCGTCGGTCGTCGTCGTCGTCATCGTCGTCTCTATCGGTCGGCCGTTCAGTCGGTCGGTCGTCTTCGGTCGTCGTCGTCGTCGGTCGTCGTCGTCGGTCGTCGTCGTCTCGGTCGGTCGGTCGGTCGGTTCGGTCGTCGGCGTCAGTCGCTCGGTCCATCGGTCGTCGTCGTCGTCGGTTGTCGTCGTCGTCTCGGTCTGTCGGTCGGTCGGTTGACGTCGTCAATCTCGTCGTCGGCCGTCGGTCAGTCGGTCGATCCGTCGGCCTGTCCGTCGGTCGTCGTCGGTCCGTCGGTCGATCGGCCGTCGTCACGGTCGCCGGTCGTCGGTAGGTCGGTCGGAGCCGTAAGAGATGGTTCCCTTTGGGCTCCCTCTTGGTCTCTTGGCTCGCTTTCGGTCCGAAGATTCGCATCGCGCTCGCGCTACTCTGATTCTTGAATCGCGCCAGTAAAGCCACAGAGGCTAAGGACGCAATGAAGTTCAGAACACGACGTTGGACCCGAAACGTTTGTGATAAGATATGCTCCTTGCCATTTCACTACCAACAATCGTCCACTGACTGCAGGAAACAGTGGAGGAGGAGGAGGAAGGAGGAGGAGGACTTGTTCGAAGTCGATTCGCTTTCGGGTGCCAACGCCCAAGGTGGGACCAAGTACCAAGCACTGGTTACCCTCTTGAAGCACGGTGGCTGACAAGCCCCACCGTGAGATTGAGGGGAAATCCCCAGCATCGCCCCTGACGATTCGTGGATCGAGCTTCAACACCACTCGCCAAACCTAGCCACTGCTGCGCCTGACCCATGGGGGATGCCCTCCCTGGAGCGCTTCGCATGGACGCCCGTCTGGTCCTCGTTGAAGAAACCCAGCGCGGACGACAGGGAACGACAGGGGCGTCTGTGCTCACGTGCTCACCCGCCTAGGGGTGTCCCGCACGACGACGGCGACGACGACGACGACGACGACTACGATGGCGACGACGACGACGAAGACGACGACGACGACGACGACGACGACGACGACCACGACCACGCCCACGACGACGACGACGACGAAGACGACGAATCGATCTACCGATCTCACTATCAATCGATCTGTCGACCTCACACATCGGAACAACCATCGAGACATTCATCGCCATAACCAACGGGACGCCCATCGGGACAACCATCGGGGCAACAATCTGGACAACCATCGAGACAACAATCGGGACAACTATCGGGACAACAATCGGTCGGGACAACCGTCGGGACAATCAGGACAACCGTCGGGACAACCATCGGGAAAATCATCGGGACCCTCATCGGCACAACCTGGTAGCCGCGGCCGGCTCGGGGGCGACTCGTCTTAGTCTGACTTGGCCCTTGCCAGGTGAGGAACTCGCGCAGCTTCGCCTCACCTCGCCTGCACGCTCGCCCCGTACGAAACGAAACGGTTTCCTGGTTGGGGAGCCTCACGTATCCCTTCGGTCTCACTCCCCAACCTCCGATATGGGCATCTATACATACATATATCTGTAATCTTTCTAATATTTACTATATCTCTCTATATATATATATACATATATATATGTGCACCAAACAGTGCTTGCTTTCGCTGAGGGGCTCCTACTTGCGCGCCGAAGAAATTGAATGGATGGTCGTGGGATTCGCCACGTTCCAGCCTGTTGCGCCCCCTTACCGCCGGTGGGGGGGTCCTGGGGATTCGCCACGTTCCGGCCCGTTGCCGCCCGTTGCCTCCCGTGGTGGTGTCCCGAAGAGCCGCCACGCTCCAGCCAGCTGCCGTCAATTGCTCCCCGTCGCCACGTTCCGGTCCGTTGCTGCCCGCCGCGACCTGTGGGGGTGTTCCCGAAGATTCGCCATGTTCCGGCCCGTTGCCGCATGTGGGGGTGTCCCGGGAACGCATACCTGCTCTTCGCCAAACGACCGCAGAGACGCTGTGCATCACATAACCTACA